TGGGCATGGTGGTGCGTGCCTGTAATCCCAGCTACTCAGGAGGCTGAGGCAGGAGAATTGCCTGAACCCGGGAGGCGGAGGTTGCGGTGAGCCGAGATCGCTGTGAGCCGAGATCGCGCCATTGCACTCCAGCCTGGGTAACGAGCAAAACTCTGTCTCAAAAAAAAAAATAAATAAATAAATAAAATACAGAAAGTAGCCAGGTGTACTGGCCTGTACCTATGGTTCCAGCTACTAGGGAGACTGAGATGGGAGGATTACTTGAGCCTGGACGGTTGAGGCTGCAGTGAGCTGTGATTGTACCACTGGACTCCAGCCTGGGTGACAGAGTAAGACCCTATTTTGGGAAAAAAAAAAAAAGAAAGAAAACTTTGATCTCAGCCTGGTTCTTTCTGTTCTCTGCTTCCAGAATGTCATGGGCTAGGGTTGCAAAGCCACTCCACGATTTGCTGTACGCTCAACATGATGAAGGAACCTGAGGGTCAGGAGGGCTGCTGTTTTTCAAAAGCCACATAGATTCCTCGGGGCAGGGTGTCACCGTGCTGCTGCTGCTTCTGTACTTGCCTTGTGCCTGGCTGTTTTTAGCACACGGAGACCTGGAGCGCAGCCGCTTGTCATTGTGGCATGGGCTGTGTCGGAGAGGGCAGGGAGGATGTTGTGGGGTGACTGAGTTAAAAGCCATGGCCGTGATGGGGCCTGAACACTGAGTGGCCGAGGTCTTCCTGCCTTAGCCTGGAAGCCAGTCTGTTGGGGGAGCAGCCTGCCTTTGAGTGGGTTATTTTTGTTGCCATTTTCAAAGGTAGTATTTGTGGCCCGTGTGTTGTAGGTAAGGAATTGCCCCTTCTGGCCTCACTTGAGCTAAAACTAGGTGTGGAGACGGGCAGCGAGACAGGGTGGAGGGTGACTCACCTCTGCCAGGACAGTCACACCTACACTGTCCCCTGGCAGCCAGACCAGACACCCGGCCCTTTCCCACCTGTCCTGCAGAAGGCAAAGGGGATGACAGGCTGGTTCTTTGCCTGGGGCATTGGTGTGGGCACTAAAACAGCCCTCCAGGATGCCCACACCCAAAACCATGGCTCCCCAGGGATTCTTATGGAGAGGTCATGGGTAACTTTCCATCCCCGGGTCTGGCAGCGCCTGTGTTCCCCTCCCCACTTGGTCACCTTGGCACAGCTGGACTGTGGGGGAAAGGCTGTGGGGCAGCCTCCAGCCTCCCCTGGCTTACCCCATCCCATGCCGTCACCCAGAGTCTCCACTAGGAGCCGGTGAGAGCCCTGTTGCCAGGTTGGAGCCCTGGCTCTACCACCTGCCAACAGCCTGGTGACCAGCGCGGAGTGTTAAGGTTTCCGCACTTCTCCGAGGCCTGGCCCTCCGC